ATTTCTGCATCTAGACAACGGTAACAATGAAACCCTCTGGAGGCTTGTTCTCAAGTTACATGTGGTAAGTCTCTTGAATTGGGATAGAAATGAGCAAGAATTAGGTCTGATAAACAACAAGCTTAGCACAATACTGAAAGGTATCCAGGCTGTTTGTGAAATTCTCAGGAACAAGACATATAAGCACAATACCAATCTATGAGTGAATGGGGTTCTGACACATTTATTTAAAGGGAGTATTCAATAAATAGTATCCCTGAGGAAAAAAATACCTTCAATTAAATTATTGGGAATTGTTCTCTCATTCATCCACATGCTGAGTCATTAGTGAAAAGTCACAGACTGGTTAAAGTGACACAATTATTGTCATTAACTTGCTTCTTTACCACTTCTGCATTTATGCTGAACTCACTAAAGATTAGGACTTGCTCACTTTATAGCCCAGCAATAGAGCAGGATTGATATAGCTCAGTTTTCATCCAAAATCAGGACTCTGCAATCACAATTAGAGAGAGAGAGATCAACTTATCTTTTAATATACACTAAACCAACATACTATCCTGCAAATGAAGCTCTGCTTGTGGGGAACGTGGAGAACTCTGCTCAGGAACATTCATCCAGTCCTCTCTGAGCTCTGGAGACACAGGCTCTTGCTTGATTTGTATGGATGAATCCGGGACTGTGATGGGGGCAATTCCGCCAGCAGTTTGGAATGTAGGTTCAGCCCTTTCTTGGACAGGGGCTGCAAAAGGAGAAGGAGGTATCTGTGCAGAGAGAGGTGGAGCAGTTTCCAGAAGAGGAACAAGAAGACCTGCATCAGCAGTAGGATCCTGTGACAAATGGAATTTGCTAGGCCTTTTTTCACTTGAGCTGCCATGATGAGGCTGCTGCAGTTGCAATTGCTCAGAAGGCTCGTAAGTGTCTAAGAAGGAAGCAATATGTTCCACATTAAAAATCTGCTTTTTCTTTAATAAAGAATATTTATGTGACCCAGGTTCTGCCTTGACATTTTCCAAACTTAGCACTGCATACACACTGATTTTCCCAGGAAGTACCCTGTCCATCTGCTTCTTTTCATCTTCTAATTCACATAAATGTTGACAGTGCTGTGGGATCCACTTTTTTTATACGGCCTTCCACTTTTAAATACCTATAGAATTTAAAGCATCCACCTGCCCCATGCTGAAAACAAAAGGTAGAACTTGGCCGCCCAATATGGCACCCATCAATACCAGATATGCTCAGAGATATCCTCCTTGGTGTCATTTCTCGTTCAATATTTTTTCCATTTTTTAAATAGCCAAAAAACAAATGAGATGCTGAAAAGCAAAGCATCAGGCTCAAGCGTAACATTTATTTGCAAAGGTGCTTCTGGGTCCTGTATAGTCTCCAGAGGCATTCTTAAAAGCATAAAGATGACAGGGGGCTGGAGCCTGTCCTTATTAGTGAGTATTTTCAGCCAGAAGGGCTGGCTGAAAATACTCATTAATAAAATAATTCAAGAGTACAGATAGTGTGCACAGTGACTGTCAGTGCAAGAGCATACAGGAGCACAGCAACAGAGGTTTATATAATGTTCAATGAATGCAAATGTTTATTTGTTTAAAACATTTGTTTCCTTTCTTTGTTTCCAATCAGAAAATACAACTAGATTATTTACAGGGATGGAAACTTACTAAACGATGAGGCATCTCAGTGAGTATTACTAATCAGAGAATAGTATTGACTGAAACCAGATATGTGTGAAGTGGATGGTCCCTGGTAGATTTTCAGGTGATCTCCAAAATTGCCATGAAAAGAAGCAAAAATCCTAAAGAATTTGGAAAGCCCTTGGACCTTCCACTATGTGCTAATGAAGCAGCTTGGCTTCCCATTTCAACTGTAAACTATACACCTGAATAGCAGATGAACAGTCCTCAGCATAAGGCACTTTGAGAATCACATTACTGCATGAATTCCATAAGCCTATCCTGTCTCCTGATATTGAATAGCTTTCCAAGTAAAGCCTGGCTGCTAATTTTATTATGTATATCAAGTAGTTATCTCCCCATAAAAAAGTCAGGGATAAGCTGAAATGGTAGAGAACATCCTAGGAGGCCAGAGGTGATCATGGTGAGGAACCTCACCTGGTTGCTTTCTAGTAAATGGGTGTTTTGTGACAGGACATGCCCACTAAAGCAGGGACTTTGTAACAAAGTTCTTGGATGCTTTCAACATTCCACATGTCCCAAAATGTTGAGGTCCCTGACCTAGAATGTTTAGCTAATCTCTTTTCCTTGATTTTAACTACTATGTTGGGTGATTTGCTATGGCAGAATTCAAGAACTTTTGCATGAATAATTCAAAGTAACTAAATCACAAAAGAAAATTGTTTTAAAATAACTTTTGTTTTAAAACAATTAAAGATTTTTTATCTTTATTCAGCCAATAAAGATCAGAGATAGAAAACAAGTATAGAATCCTCCCGCCTCCCCGCCATATATGTATGTTTAAAATATTCAAAATATATTCTTATTCTAAACAGTTCTTAAATTATTTTTTGTTTCTTGATTCTGTGGACCTCAATTTAGCAGATATTCGATCCAATCCATTCAAATACTTTGAATTGCACCTTTAAACAACAGACAAGGTACTGTATATTGTTTCCAAAGGAGTCCAAAGAATTTACACCATTCATGTCAGTTTACATCATTTGCACCATTACATAAATAAGATGATGTGAATGACCACAAATGATATAAAAATACCAATTATGTAATTTTGCAAATTATATATATTTGGATTTAAATAGACATTAGGATTTAAAAAAGATCCCTTCCTCCTTAATAGTTCATTAACCTGATGATAAAACAATTATTTTATTTAGTAATATAATTTTACATGTTGTATATTTTGATTATAGACGCACTGTAACAGGAAAGCTTAGAAACTAAATATATAAGGATTCAGAATATTGAACAATATAATGCTGGACGATGGGCTCTTCAGGTCAGATGGCACTCAACATGCTACTGAGGAAGAGCTGAAGATTTTCAAGCGTAACATCAGGAGTAGCTTTGAAATCCTGAAGCTTATTGATAGAGAACCACAGGACTATGGTATTAAATCAAATACATTATTAAGGATGAATGTGAAAAGAGATTGCCAAAGACCAAGAAACAAAACAGAAGAAAGCAAAATGGATGTCAGAACAAATGGTGGAAATTTTTAAGAAGAGAAGCTAAAGCCAAGAAAGATGAAAGTAACAGGAAGGAACTTAATAAAGCATTTCAGAGAACTGTTAGAAGAGACAAAAAGCAATATTACAACAACATCTGTAAAGGCATTAAAGATGGAAGATGGACACAGAAAAACAAGAAAAGGTTTGTGAACTCAGAAGGATATTCCAAACTTGAATTGATATGCTGAGAATTGGTATGCTAATACCACTTATGCTGATTTGAATAAGATAAAAATGGAAGGAATGAAATTCTGTACAGTACAGATGTCAACAACCAAGGTACTTTAGAAGATATTCCCTACTGATGAAACCCCCTAGTATTAAAAGACAAAGTTACATCAGCATTATAGTCATTAACAAGTCAGAAAGCTACAAGAATTGATGGAATATCTACAGAAATATGGTAAGCCAAAGAAGAATAATCTGTAAAAACCAAACTATGCCAACTAATCTAGAGAATAACAAAATGACCAACAGATTAGAAAAGATCAGTCTACATACCAATGCCAAAGAAAGAAAACTTAACAGTGTGCAAGCCATTGCACAATATCCTTAATTTCACATGCTAGGAAAATAATGCTTAGGACTGACTAACATAGATTAGAACCCTACATGGGAAAGGAAGATGCCAGATGTTCAAGCTGGCTTCAGAAAACTGGATAATTGAGAAAAACCAAAGAATCCCTCAAATAAGTAAATATGTACTTCGCTGACTACAGAAAGGTTTTCAATTCTGGTGACCCTATCAAACTGTGGAATGTACTTAGGAAAATGGGAATCAGAACATCTCACTGTCGTGTTCTATACACCAGACCGAAAGTCAAGATCCAGATGGAACACAGCTAAACATAGCTCCACATCAGAAAAGTTACCTTGTAACCCCTGCAGGATCTGAATCCTCTGGCTCCTCAAAGATCCCATTTCTACTGATATCTAGAAAATAAAAGAGATTAAATAAGGACCAGCAAATAACATCCTTCTGAACTTGTGGGAATCAGAGCAAATGGATTCCGACTTATGAAATACCTGCTGTTTCAGTACAAGCAATCGTTGGACTTCAATATAAGCTGCTTGTAGAGCAGCTCGAACCTGCAGGAGGCTTTCATCTATGCACTGTAATGATTTGCTTAATTCTTCCTCTCTCAGGGAAATAGCCAACAGTTGATCCACCTGAGAATGCTCTGCAAGAGAAAATGTTGTAAAACATGATGCAGACACATGTCATTTGGGAGACATTTAGAAGATAATTGTGTAAGTCAGCTGTTTGAGCCCCATCTAAGCTATGTACAGATCATATTGTGTTTGACGAGTCTGACACTTAATGGTTAACTTTACCTTATCAGTCTTGGGAAGACCTTGTTCCTATGCATTCTGCAGCACAAGTATGTGTATATCTTACTGAAATCATGAAGGGCCATGAAGATAACTAAGCCTGTGTCTCTACAGGAAATACAATTATTATACAAATCTCCTAAAATGTAAATTGAAGGCAATAATGAGATGTTAACAAACTGTAATCACCTACCTTTTCTTCCTTTGATCTTCCTTCGTTTAGTCTTTCTTTCTAAACTTGGGATTTCAGGAGAGGATCCCTCCTGAAAATTAAAAGATCAGCATTTCTAGTTAGCTAAGCCATTGTACTTTAAGACTTTATACATCATGTTCAGAATTAGTACCAATTCTTTCCTATGAGATTTAGTTCAGGTGAAATAATTAAACTATCAAACTAATCATTAAATTAAATTATTGTGTCATACTTTTGTGTGTGTGTGTGTGTGATCTCAGTTTGATCCACAGGCAATCCACTTCTATGACACAAATGTATCCAGGACTCTGTATTGATTTTTTATTACTGATATCCTCCCTAGCAAGAATTTAAGAAAGACAAGAACTAGTTTGAAAGGGATAAAGGCCATATGAGAATGGCCAGTACAATATTTTAATGACCTAATTATTTATGCTTATGCATAAAGTTATGCTTATGCACACACACAGCAAAAGGCTAAATACCCAGTATACTCCAGCTTCTGTAATCTGGATTTCAACTCCTATGGTCTCTCATTCAACATGGCAATTGGCTGTGATGATTGGGGAATTGGGGAAGGTGAAACTGAATACCTCTATGAGGCTGGAGAAGGCTGTTTTAGTAACTATCATGTCTAGTCAGAGTCTCTTTAAATAAACATGCTGAGGTGAGATACTATACTAAATGGAGTTCTTTTACCAAAGTACTATTATGCTTATGGACGTTTTTCATATGCTGGCTCATGAATTCAATGGCTGCGAATAAAACAAAATAATTTCTAGTAATATTCAGAGTACATACTCCTGTTGCTCTTCTTTTTTTCCCCATCCCCTGGCTATCATTCTGCTCATTGCTTGATGTATAGCTGCTGTCAGTAGCTGCATCCAAAGCATTGATGTCTGCAAGGCCTGAAACCATGGTGTAACATTCTTCTGAACATTCCAGTATGTCTTTGTTTTCAGATGTATTAATGCTATAGTCAGGGCTTCTCTGGCCGTCTCTTGTACTAAAGATTGTGCGTTGATTAACATTTGGGGTCGTCTGGAGGCTGAGTTTCTTTCTACTTGAAATTAAACCAGTCCTGTCAGACATGAATGGTGAGGAAGGAAGAGAAGATGACTCCTGTTTCACAGTAAGCATAGTATCTTCTAATATCTGAATTCCAGATGTTATATCCTCAGGGTTGGCAACTGAACCAGATTTGTTCGGCTCGTCTTCTTTACTTGTGCCTTGATTATTAAAGAAACTGTAAACGCTGGCTGTCTTATCGACAGCCACACTACTTTCAGAGAGGCTACGTTTCCTAACTGTTCCTGGGGAACCTATAGATATCCCTTCCCACTGGAATCCTTCAAGATTGGTGAGGTCAGCTTCTTCATCCAACTCAAGGCCTTCTTGTTCATTCTGGATGAGCGGAACCATCTCAATGCCAAACCTAAAACACAATCATGTAACACTTATTAGTGAAATCTCTTTTAAAAAAAAAAGACACAACCACTTCTCTCAGCTAGCTAACCTTGTCTGGGATCAAAAGCTAAGCAGGGTAAAGCCTGGTTAATAATTGGATGGGAGACCATCATGGAAATTCCTGGTTGTAGTGAAGTCAGAAGGGCATTCTAGAAGAAGCCAATGGCAAACTGCTTCCTGCTGCTGCTCAGAAAGCTACATGGGTGTGTTCATGAAGTTACAAGGAGTACAGCTGGATTTGAGGGCATCTTTAATTTAATCTATGAATACTTCAGCAATATTACAAGATTTCCCAAACTGTGGAGCTCAATTATTTTATCTTTTACCTACAATTACCCCCCATAAAGCCAAGTCAATATTTTTAGCCACTGTTCAATGAATTGGCCACATTCACATACATCATCGGAAGCCATAACATAGAATAGTACAACTTCCATTTCCTCAAGAGCTTTCTATGGCTCATTCAAGGCTGCCCTCCAAAAGTGGGTGGTGCTAGGGCCCATTTTGAGAGAGGTTTTTTTAAAGGGGAAAAGCAAACAAGCCACATTATGATCTAGGGTTATATGTGAACCAAACCAATGTTACTGAAGATTCACCAGTTAGAGTTTCTCCTCATGAAGTTAAATTTCATGAGGGATGCTTGCATATAAATCAGTCTAAACACTGTATTGTATCTATCAATTGATGGGCTAACAGTTTTTTTCAATACAAGAGTAAAATAGCATCTTAATTTTTGCTGAAATAGGTGGGAGGACAGAGATTGAAAACTTTTAATCAATTTTACGTAATTATAACACAATATAAGCAGAAGGATATACAGTATTGTAATCTTAAATGCTAAAAACCTATTCAAAAAATAGTCAATCTTGCTCAGTAGGTTGACTATACTGCAGCTCTTGCTGCTGATTTAAATACAAGGCTATCTCTTGCAATAAGAGTGGTGCTCTTAACCTTCAGTTAATTGGTGAATCAAACTAAAGGAGAGGTAGAATAACATAAATGTCATTATGGAAAATATCAAGTATAGCTATCTATGATTATATACATTTCATATTCCTAGACTCCTAATCTAGTTAGATAATACTATTTCTTTAAATCTTCCCTAGATTTTAGGAAATAAATCCTAAGGTTATTTTTATAATTTCATAGTCAATTTGATTTTAAGTGCCTATACTATACTGAGATAGTGACTTTTTACTCCTTTATAATTTTCCTATAGTATTTATTAAATTTACTTTATTATGCTATTTTTATAATATTTTTAATAACTGCAATCTGTCAAGAGATGTTCGGCTACTGGATGAATTAGGCAACAAATACATAAATACATTTATTCAATAAATTTTTAGTTTGCCCTGGAGTTTTGTACTGAAAGATGACGCATATGTGTACCTAATGCAAACATGCTATACAGCAAGAATGTTCAACTCTGGTAAGATCACAAACCTTGGTAAACCTTTGCCTTGTTCTTGTTTTTTCTTTGTCACTTGCTGAATGACCTGCTCCCAGTTTACATTTCTGCGAGACACACTGATAATCTGCCGCAAAGTAGGTTTCAGCCCAGATTCTTTTTCTGTCTCATTCTTCCGGTGACCACTCACATTTCGAATGCGCCTTGCGTTGTTGAGATTTGGCTCAGGCAAATGAGAACTAGTTTTATTTTTTAAGCTAGTGCGCCATGTCAGGTCTCTTTGGAGAGAAGCTGGGAACCCAAGTTTACTCAATTCTGGAAGAAGAGGGCCTGCAGACTGCCCTGTAGTACCTTTCAGTAGCTCGTGATTTGAATTATCTCCATCGTCTTCTTTTTCAGGAGCATCATTTGATTTTGTAACATCTTCATCACCATCTTCTTCCAGAGTTGTTTTCAAATCAATATCCAACTCACTGGGACAGTTTGACAAAGTGTCTAGGGTCTCCATTTGGAATTCAGTGTATTTTTTATTAGCACCATTCAATTCTTCTAAATAGTTACCATTTTTAGTTACGATATGATCAAGTTCAGCAAGGCCACAAGATGAATAAGAATTTGAGGAAGTATTTTTGCTTCCTGTTTTATCATCGTAGTTTTTATTCTCTAATCCTTCGATCTGGACTTCATATACCTTCAAAGCATGTGAGGAACCTTCAGTTCTCCATTCTTCATTCCCATCAGTTTGAGTATCTCCATAAGAGCTTGAATTAGACTTTTGAAGAGGACAGCTGTGCTGGAGTTCTTCTTTGGCCTTTTGTAATGCTTTGTTTAGGCTTTCATGGCTGCTAAATAGAGGTGTGTTCCCTTTTAAACTGTTAAAATTACATGCATTATTGGTCAGCTTGGATCTATTTGAGGAATTGCTAGTCTCCATATTCAGTTGACTCTGGCATTCCCCAGAAGATGAGGATAATAAGACATGGGCATGTTTCAAGAGATTCTTTGGGTTTCTTCTCTGAGAAGACTTAATATCTGGAATAGACAGAAGTGGGGACTTCAAGGATGGCATCTTGCTACTTTTGCTTTCAGCTTGACCTGATTTGTTTTCACTTGTACAGGTCACTGGCCCTTTGCATGGTGCAACTTTAGTGGATGCCACACTGTTATTTGAGGATACCGAATAAGCCTCTTCCCATTTTTTCACTTTGGGGTGGTTAGTTTTAGGATCTTCTGATTCTGAAGACAGCTGAGACAATGCTTTCTCTGATGTTTTAGCTACATTTTCTTCTGACAGTGGCTGCTGCTCTACAGTTTTCTGGGAAGGATAAGGAGCCCATCGGTTAGTCTTTTCTCGAGAAGGGCTACTACACTTTCTACTGACTTTGGAGTTCTTACTCTCTGAGTGCACAGAAAAACTAAAATTTAGTAACTGATCTGAAGATAGCTGATCACTTGTGAAATCTAGTAAGTAGTCAGGATTGTCATTTTCATTATCAAAACCTGTATAATTTGCCAGACCCTCCTGCCATTGCCATTTATAATTTTCGCTACTGTATTTCTCCTGTATACTTTTTATTTTTAACCAGGAAGCATCCATGTTGTCTATCTGGGAACTATTGTTTACAACTCTATTTCTTCCAATGTTCCATCCATTTCCATTTTGTTGACCAGGTTTCCAGTGCCCCCCTGCATTTTTGGATTGCCAGTTGGAAAAAACATTATTTGCTTCAGAATTCCAACTGGAACTTCTTCCCCTACCACGATGATGCCAACCTGATGTTCCACCTCTAGCATTCTGATGCCAAACACCTCCAGTGTTTCCATAATTATGGTATCGATTTGGAGGTCCTCTGGAGCTGCTTTGATGCCACCCAAGTCGTCCTCTTTGGCTGCTGAGATGTCTGTTTGAGTTATTAGAGTTCCTTGCACAGTGGTTGAATTTTCCTTGCTTGGGATTTAAGAAATTATCCTTTTCCCAGTTCCAGTCTCTCTGTGGTGGTCCATGATGCCACCTTGATGATGTATCATAAGCATCTCGGTCTTGATAAGAGAGTCTGTCATCTTGTCGCCTTTGCCTTCTGTCATCACTTTCTGCTTCACAGTTTACATGACAAAATTCACTTGCCCTACAAAGACATAAACATTTACATCTAGTGATCAAAACACGAATATTTACATCTAATGGTTTAGTGATCAAATTTGTAACAACAAAAAGTTGTAAAAACTGTAAGATCCTGTCTTAAATCTCTTTAAAGAATCCAGTTGTATGTTCTTTGTTAGTTTCTTTGCTCACTAATGTCAAGCAACAGTTTCTTCTAAGGAAGTAAAGACTAAAGTTCAGATGAAAGTCAGCATGAATTTACCTTTCACTTTCTAGTGGGAAAAAAATATGCCAGAACTTGAAGCAGCACTTCATATATAAATCACCCTTGACTGCTATTATTTTTTACCCCAGCATATCAAATAAATCTTTGCTCCAAAATTATTACATTCCACTGCTGAATGAAACTAAGATGACCTGTCATCAGTGACAAGACAATGATGGAAGAACACCCTATGTATTATGGAAATGTTTCCTTACTGAGACACTCAGGAAAATAGCACAGAAAGAGAGATACTGTGAATCTTTAAGAGAGATACTGCCTCCACCTCCCATTTCCAATACACTGGTTAACTGAAAAAGATTCTGGAAGCGTACAATGTCCTTTAAATAGCTATTTAAAGAACTACGGAAAAGCACTCAGATCTGAAATGACTCCAAATGAAGCCAATTCAGGTTTAACCAACTGTTTTCCCTAGTTTTCCAATAGGAAAACAATTAGTTGCGTAGACCACACATAATGTGGGAATGTGCTAACAGGTTGTCCACAGGACAGGGGTTCCTCCAGAAAGAAAACACTCAGTAAGTTTATCATATAACTGTCAAAAGGGAAACGTTCTCTCTCCATTGGCAGTATAATACCTCCCTGAAAAAGGAAGTCAAATTCCAGAAACGCATTATACTGTTAAAAAAAGAAAGAAAGAAATCAACACCATTATCTCCCTCATTCCCTATAACCTAATAACCTACTGGAGGTGTAAGAGTAAGAAAATTTCGCACTATGGCATCTGACAACCCCTGTTTGTGGGCATGCTGAAGGTCTTAAGTTCCATATCCTTTTTTAACTTTGAGAAGACTCCATAAATAGGAGTCAATTAGCTGTGGATCATCGCAATTTCAAGGAGATCACTAGATCAAAGGTTAGAAAAATTACAGCCCAGTAATATTTAATTTAATATTTAATATTTAATTTAATTTAAATAAGTTAATTCTTTTCTCATTTCCTGTGTTTAATTCTACCAACAGAATTCTGGCACCTTTTATTGAATCCACAGAAGTAAGAAAAATGTGTTCTTCCAGCTACTGTTCTGAATGCTAAAATAAAATACACCAGATACAAAAAAGCCCACCAAGGTTATTCAAGAGACAGATAATCACAACAGGGAGGAACTCAAATCCTCCTGACCCAATGCCTGGCAGGAAAAGCAGGCAGGGTCAGGATCATCCATACTTCTGGGGGCAAGCCCAGCAACAAAAAAGGCACATTGGCTGGGTCCCAAGATGGCATTATCTAAAAGATGGGACCCTGTCAGATCTTATTGGAGGTGCAGAGTTTTTCATCCAGGCACTTTGTCAGGTAGATTTTTTAAAAAATATCAGTTTTATTACATTTTATACTTTGTGGTTGATATTTGCTATTCACTGATCTATCTGTATGCTGCCCTCAGTTGTTTTGAGAGGGTGGGTATATAAACAGTGTAAATAAATAAATAAATGCACAAGATTGACCAGGATAGCTCTTTTATAACTTAATAATAGGTCTGTTGTATAAATGGAAGGGACTTGTGTTGAAATTCACTTTGCTGGGTACACTATTGATTTCTTCTCTTCCATATATAGCCTCCTTCTTCCTCTAACCGAAGGAAGGAAGGAAGGAAGGAAGGAAGGAAGGAAGGAAGGAAGGAAGGAAGGAAGGAAGGAAGGAAGGAAGGAAGGAAGGGAGGGAGGGAGGGAGGGAGGACCAACACTCTGAAGCAGGGGACAATGGAGAGAATTGGTGACCACACAAACAAAATTCTTTCTACCATATAGAAGAATATAGATCTGCAATTTAACCAAAGTAAATACATAGTCTTTAAATTGCATATTACTAAACATAATGAACTGAAAGCCATGAGTCTTTCTGTGCAAATTGTCTGAAAGGATGTTTTGTTTATGGCACTGTCAAGAGTAAAGTGCTGAGGCAGTCACATTGTCCTGAAGTTTTGGCTCAGCAATTCTGAGAGCCTTCCCAGGCTTTGCTTAAATGCCAGTCACAGCAGAATTCAGCACCTGCACTTTCCTGTGCATATGTACTATCTGGGAAAGCCTGCAGAGGAGCTGCACCAGACCCTGGGGGGATACGTAACTGTCTCAATCTTTTGCGAAGCAGCACTTTACTCATCGGGTTGCCGCCACTGAAACATTACTCTGAATGAGTTGCATGGCTCTTCTATTCCAAAGACTGAAATATGATGCATAGTTTTACAGGAAATCTCAAAGAACAGAATGTTAGAGTGAAAGAGATTGATTAGAAATGCATTTACATCTTGAAACACGTATAATGAATTTAACTGAATTCTAAAAAAACCTGCCAGTTTTGTAGTTCTAGGTTTCACGTATATATAAAAACTAAGGGTGAACATCTCTTTCTGCATTTAAGCCAGAAGCATAGCATACCTTCAATTTATTTTCTATGATGTAATAAAATAGGTTATAAATGTGGCAGAATTAGTTACTGTGACCTGGACAAAAGTTTGTTAAATGCAACAGGCATGATTGGAGAGCATATTTATAGAAGAATCTTAATATCCACATTAGGTATGTTTATCTATAAATGGCAAAAATAAACCCCCAGCTATTTCACATAGAGAAAGCTACATCAATAGTAGTCAGGTTCAGTTGTTAATTCAGAAAGCATTATTCCAAAACCAAGCACTTATAAAATCATAAACTAAAAATAGCAAGTTAGTCAGTTGTTGGAACTCTCTCAGCTACATGCAACTGGAGGCTGCACAGAAGGCACCCCTCTGCTTTCAAAAGCATTTCCTTATGTTCAAAGAACCATAAAGAACTCAATAAGGTGCATATTAATGAAATGTGGAAAAACTCACCGGTTTTGCTCGTTTCTTTGCTGGATTAACTGGATAAGTTCCTTGTCAAAGTATTCTTCATCAGCCTCTTCTTTTTCTTCCTCAGCATCATGGACTTCAACGTTGTCTTTGTGCAACTGGCTGGAGATGTGCTTGGCATACGCTGACAAGCCCACCACTGTCACCCTACACACTTGGCACTTATGATTGCTCTCCCTGGGGAAAGAAGGAGAAGGTGGGCACTCAATTCTTCCCACAGGCATGGCAAACAATGCTGATTTTAATTCAGTTTCCTCTGAATGACCATGCCTCAGTCAATGAGGCACAAGAGCTAGTAATTTAGGGTGAAGTTAAAAATAAAACCTGTTGATTTCTAAGTTTTTTCTTTTGAATTCACTTGGCTGTTTCTTGGTGAATTTCAGATTTTTTTCCAACAATCAAGAGGTAACAAACTTGATAATAAGCAATGGGTCATCTAGGATTCTTCTTGGATTGCTGTACTCAAAATCTTGTGAAAGGAAACATAGTGGAGTAGGAGATGGCCGAGTAGGGAGCTTGTAGAGCTAGCTGTAGCTGCCCTAGAGCACCTCCATGGTGCCAGCTGCACTGGGGAAACCAGTGTCAGAATCTAGAATTAAGCTCTGTCTCAGCTTTCCTCAGCAGAGGCGGGGAGAGAAAACTTCTGCAGCCAATCTTAACAGAGTGAAACCTAATCTGGGACAACTGGCACAGTGGCCTGGAATTCAAAGACTGCAGGGAGTCTCCAATTCACTGTACTTTATTTGGTTCAGAAGATGCAAGTTGTCCATTCTCTACTTTGCAAGGATTATGCTAAAGACACAAAATTATTTCAGCTGGAGGGAACAGACAGCTGTCAGACAAGTGGCCAAGAAATAAAAATCCTACATATTTAGTTTCCAGAGTTGGAAGCTTATAGGGCAAGAAGCAACCTTGAAAGGCTTGTAATGCTTTGAAGAAAGGGCATTCTTCACTGCCAAAATAGGGCCAGAAGCCCCCATAACTTATTAAAATTAAAATAAACTTTTTCTTTAACTTTAATTTTTTAAGGCTGTAATTTTCCAAAACTTCATGAGATTTTATGATCTCGTATGAGAATGCCAAAATCTTGCAGGATATTAGTATTCTTCTGCAAGAGTTGGGCAAAATCTGAAAAGATTTCAGGAAATTTGGCAAGTGTACCCAACCCATCACAGAAACTCATGAAATGACATCAGAAGTCTGAAAATGTTGCTCAAGGACGGCGATTGGTAATCTACTCACAAAAATAATAACAAAAGCCGAATAGCAAAATTAGTGTATTTTGTGATTATGGTCTGCAATACTTTTACCAAAAAATCAAGACGTAATTGAAACTTAGTCCACAATTCCATATATTCATATATTCTGAGGGGGCAGACCTGGCATGCATTACTGAGACCTGGCTGGGGCTCCTCTTGGAAATGTGCCCAGCTGGATTCTCAGTGTGGCACCAGCCAAGAGACCAGGGCAGGGGAGGAGGGGTGGCTATTGTGATCCAGGAATCTCTAGTGGCCTTCAGGGGCATTGCTCCACGAGTTTCTGGCTGTGAGACACTCCCGTGAACAGTTGGGAGTTCTGCTATTGTACCAGCCTCCCTCCTGCATGGCAGCCTCCCTGCCTGAGCTGCTGGAGGCCATCTCGGGGCTGGTGGTGGAGTTCCCCAGGCTTATGGCTCTGGG